ATTCTCTCTCTCTCTCTCACACACACACACACACACACACACACACACACACACACACACACGGTGTCGATGTCATTCTCTTACCTACGGAGGCCAGGTTTCCCAGAGTTTCCTCCATCACATCTCTGTAGAGTTTCTGCTGAGCAGGATCCAGCAATGCCCACTCTTCCCGGCTAAAGACCACAGCCACAGCTTCAATGAGCTCCCAGTCCTAAAACACCCCACACGGTCTGCATCAGCAAGGTGTCAGGTATCCAGATGAACAGGAATAACGTTTGAGGCCACCAGCCTCGAGGATATTGAGAATTCAGGGCATAAGACCCAAGCCTCTGTTTTCTACCAAGGTCACCTGTCGAGTACACCCGACAGCCTCATCTCTTCCCTACATTCACTTTCCTACTGAGACCCCACCGTTTCTCACAGGCTTCCAACACATGGAAACAATCTCTTACAGTGTGACCAATTACAATTGCTGTCCTGATCTAAATGGTTAGCTTTTATATCTATTTTGAAAACAGAGATAAAAGTCAACCATTTAGACCTCCCGCCATTCCTATAAATGCAGAATGTCAGGTTTTTCTTCAGCCCTGGTGGTTCCTAACTATGGAAAAACTAAAGCCACCCCCACCCCCACCCCTCGCCACCCCCAAGCTCCCAAAGTACCCCTAAACTCCCCAAACCCAACACCCTGCCATCAAGGTGGTTCTCACCGCCATCGACCCTAGAATGTCAGGTTTTTCTTCAGCCCTGGTGGTTCCTAACTATGGAAAAACTAACGCCACCCCCACCCCCACCCCTCGCCACCCCCAACTGGCAACCCAAGACCCAGCGTGATCATACTTTGTTCAAGTCTAGGAGATGAGGTGGTGACAGAGATTCAGCTGATGAAAAAAAGCTTCGCCTTTGGGAAAATTATGTCTTTCTAGACATTTGCTGAATCCCAGTGCTGTAGTGTTTACTGCTTGGTCTTAAATCCATAAGATCAACAGTGAGAAACCAGCGGCAGCCCCAGGGGAGAAAGATGAGGCTTTCTCCTTCCATAAAGAGCCATAATCTCAAAATAACCCACGAGCGCCCTATAGGATTGCTAGGAACAGGAATTGATGATATGGTAGTGTTGGCTTTGTTTTGGTTTATATGTGAAGCCTCTATTTTTTCTCATCTGTGTGTCCTGGCCACAGAGACAACTGTAGAGCAGTGAGAAAGTCCACAGTTGAGACGGGAAACAGTCACAAGGGAACCCCATGAGCTCACCACTTAAATTCAAAAGCAGATGTAAGCCAGTGAGTCATGACGGCCTCAACAAACATAAGCCCACACACCCTTCACCGAAGCACCGTCAAGGACCGAATGCTGTTCTTTGAAGCCATGAACCCCAATCAGACAGAAAGATGATCATCTCTACTCCAGTAAAGATTTAAAGTGTGGGCCACTCTAGGATTGGTATCAAAAAAACACAAGGAACCGTCTCCCTGACTCATCTAAGAAAGGTGAACTCAGGCATCCAAATCATATGGCCACCTATGTAAAAGTAAGAACCAAATAACAAAGAACAGGACCTTAGGAACCCTCCGGGGCTCGGGTTCTTAGCACACTATTCACCCTTCCCGTTCACTGAAGAATCACACGCCCAAAGCACACTCAGCTCCCCCTTGCCCACCGTCCAAGAAGGGGAAAAAAATCCTAACGGTTCTCTGCCATTGAGGGTCCCAATATCTCTGTTGCTTATAGAACTCACCATTTCCTTGTTGCAAAATCTGGGGGTCAAGGGCAATCTCGTCTCTAAGCTCATGGGGCCACTTCAGGAAGAGGGATTGGAATAGAAGCAGAGCACTTCAGCAGGATGATGAATTATGTTTGGTCTGCACACCAGTGAGAGGGGTTCAAATCCTTCCAAAGTTTGTATGGATGTACAAGGTGGTGGTCCTCGATTCCTGTCGTCCTTGTCAATGCACAACACTGAAACCTGTAACCGAATCATATAACAACAACAACAAAGTTGAAAAAGGAGTGATAGGCTTTTAGCTTCAAGCTCAGGGCTACAAGCAGAGGGTATTTAGATAGGGGTCAAAAACATGCTCTAGTATACAAAGTACACGGTAGTCTCATTTTTCATCACAGGAAGTTAAATTCCGTCAACTTTGCTGCAGTAAAACTTTCTTTCACTCAAACACGCTAATGGGGTTTTATCGATACTTTCTTGCTTAGTTTGCAACTCACATTCCTTTCTCCTGCTTCCAGGGTTCCTCTACGTCTTTTTCCTACCGTGGCATGCCATTCCCTAAGCTTTTTGAGAACTCTGCGAGTATCTCCTCAAAACTCTGATCATCTATCCATGAAGAAACAGATCTCACAAATAGTAAGGTTTCCTTAAGGACCATCTGTTCCCATTTCACTCCATCCTGCCATCTCTTCAATTGACTCCAAGGCTTTCATTTCTCGGTCTCTCAGTAAATGTTCTCTCTCTCATCTGATCTTTATACCAACGTTTCCCCTGTAAATGCCTTAACTGCTTTTGTAATACTCAAAAAGTAGTTCCACTATGATTCCCAAACAGACTTCCAGCCTCATTCTTTTTAGAGAGGGTATGAGCTTGTGTACTCTGTAAGGTCTGAAACCTCACCCAGGGCCTCCTGAATCTAAAGCCACTTTTCACAAGATGCTGGATGATCCACACTGACAGTCCCGTCAGAGAAGCTTCCCCTGATCTGTCCGGCATGCGTACCAAGGAGTGAATGTGCTCTCAGCCGATGCCCTTAGAACAGCGGTTCTCAACTCGAGTTGAGACGTCTAAGGCGTTCCAAGGATCCTTTCACAGGGGTCACCCGATTC